AAGTTGTTTAAAATTCATATTAAAACAAGTTCGAATTTCAGCATCATTCGATTTTAGCAATCATCCCCAACATTCTCATATGAACATTTATTTTTTGTTCTAAGAGTTGATAAAGAATTTCATCAATCGCGGTATGCTTATGATATTGAAGTCGAACTTGATGATCCAAATAAAATGAGGCTTGCAGCACTTGCATCAAATTCTATCAATCAAAAAGAAATACAGAATTTAGACGACAAGGTTTAAAACATTGTCATATTTCAATTGATAATCACAAATAATTAATACTAATAATTCTTTATCTATCGTAGATCGTTCAATGTGTACAAAGCATTAATAATTCTAAAACCAAGCGTGACTTTTTACTAAATTTTGCAAATTCACCTATAGACTTTATTAATAAATGGATTGCTAGTCAAAGCCGTGATTTAGAGGTTTTTATTCGGTGTTTTATTAATAATAATGAAATTTATAAATTTATACAATTTATATTTGTATAATTATAGGTTATTTTGGGTGAAAGTAAAGTTAACCTCGAAGAACAGCGAAAGTCTGGATTCTATCAACAAGACTGGGTCAATGAAGCCGTTTTTCATTACACGGCTGCACTGAATAAAAGCAATAAAAATTTGTTAATGTGATTTAAAGATTGTAATTATTTATCGATAATAATAAATACAATGTGTATGATCCAGATAATACGTGGGATGCATTCTTGTTTATAATTTGACATAGTAATATTCGAAAATTACTGTATGCTTATTTATATTAATATAACCCAAATATCAGTATTAGTAAATTACATGAACTAAGACGGGCTTACTAAAATGCACCATAGTTGCTATATCTCAAAAACGTACTAGCTAACACATGTTCAGAACCCCCAAAAACCTTATGCTAACTAAAATTTGAACCTTTATATCGAACCCCTTTCTTACTCTAAAGTTGCACCCTAACGCTAAATTTTAGCCAAAAACATATTAACACCAACAACACCTATGGTGCATTTTATAATTACTAAACTAAGATACAGAAAATTAGAAATGTTAATTTTTACTTTGCTAATTAACGGTAAATTTACATCAATGCAAATTAAATTGATAAAGTAACATTTTCCAAACACGTGATGATCTACAGAAATTAACTACCCAGGCCAGCCAATCAGATTTTGAGATCAGGTGTAACGTGAAAAACGCATAAAGCCAGAGTTAGGGCATAACATATACTAAAATTTGACGAGGAATTTATTAGAACGCAAAAGGTGGTTTCATAGGCAAGATTTTGAGCTACGACCAATTTTTCAAAAAAGTGCATACTTTTTATGTTACACCCGATCTTGCAATTTGATTGGCTGCGCAGAATTTTTAGTTACAGAAATTAACCAATAGTGAATCACGATTTGGAGTAACGTTACACGATCAGGAAGAATTTCATAGTTAACGGGTGTTAACCGCGTTCGTGTCGCCATTATAAAAATTTTCCTCGAGTAATTTTACTATTAATTCGCTATTATCAAACCCTAATATATGTGCTAACCTTAAAGCAAATCAACATAAAAAATTTTGTAACATTTCACGTGATCGTTCCTACACCCTGGATCTTTAGTTGCTTCTGTCAAAAATCGCTTATTTCTCAAAAGTTTGTATAAGAAACCACCTTTCGTGCACTAATTAAAAGTTTAATTTAACGATTTCACTATATAATAGCCTAAACCCCAAACTTAAAGAATTTTGTCGTTGGTCACGTGGGATGAATTTGGAATGGCCTATGAAAGGCGATCTAGGCTTTAAACGACCCTATTTTTGGTAAATCCTTGACTGATTTAGGGTAATGTAAAAAGTCGCCCCAATAGAACACAGTGTATTACACATTAGCCAAGCAAAGAAAATAATAATGAAGGTTTATACGAAGGAAAATTTTTGCCAAAATTTTCGCGATAGTCCGTATAGTAGCCCCCAAAAGTTTGTAACTTTTTTTTAAATCCAGATTAGCGGGATTGAACAATTAGTAAGAAAAAAAGTGTTTATTCACAATACAGTTAAATTTTGTTGTTTTCTGTGTAATAATAATAGATTTGTAAAGGTTATAAATTCAGCCGTTTTGACCCGAGTTGTAAACGGTTGAACCGTTTTGACACGGGTGACCAGGTTCTACCCTTTATGAACCTTTATGAACCTTTGGTTTTTTATGTTTTTTTTCTTTTTTAGTTATTTTTCCTTCTTCTGGAGAGTCTTCTGCAACCTTCCTCTGTAATTTATTAATTGATCAGGCAACCTTCGAATATGATTAAATTGTAGAACGAAAATTTTACACACCTTTTTTAATGCCTTTTCATCCCCTGTTTCCGTAGGCGTAGTATCAACTTCTTGTATCAATGTCGTAGTACCCTTTGGTTCAGTTGTCGTAGGTATTAGGCCCGCCATTTGTGTTACATCTGGAGTACTTTTGTCACCAATTCCACTTAAATCAACATATGACTTTTTCCAATCTGCTGGTGTATTCTCATTAGGGCGACCGAATTTATTCAATTTACCTTCAGCGATCATTTTTTTCTTCTCCATAGCCTAAAAACACGATGGTAATATGTTATGAGTAAGAATTGGATGTGATTATATACAAGTTTAAACAATACAAACAATTAATACCTTAGGCCCTAATCCCCAAACTTTTGGGTAGGTATCGCGTTCCATAATGACTCGTTTTATTTTTGCGACAACACCTTTAATAAAAATTACCAAGTTGAATTTAACGAGTTCAATGCAAAAAATTTTGTAAAGATCCTTACCGTGATCTACAGTTCCCATAACTACAGTTGTCATCAAAGCTATTCCAAGAGCAATGGCCTCCCCTTTTGTAGTCATAAGAACAACTTCTTCATTAATTTCAATTCCTTCTTCGTACCGTAGCAGACCCGGTATCATTAACTTAGCACCATAGCATATAGCATTAACAGCACTATCTTTGACGACAATCCGTTTATATGTTATTAAGAGAGATTCGAGTGGTCGAATAACTCTTCGAAGATAGGACTCTGGAAGATAATGATAATGATTGCAATTGTAAGCTACTTAAAAATCTAATAATACACCAATGAATTTGAGTAACTAAAGGCTTTTACTACCGTCTTTAGTACTTTTATGAACCCATTTAGCATCTAACACATCATGCAATGTGACCATATCATCCTGATTTGTGTTTAGATGATTAATTACTCGTAAAGAAATAAATTTTAATTGCAAAAAAAAAAAAAAGGTCATATGTAACAATTTACATTTTCGGACATCGCACCCGAACGAACACGCCGAAGCTCTTGCATATGCGCCCCAACGCCGAGAATAAGCCCCAAGTGAACACAAAGCGTACGAATATAAGTTCCGGCCTCACAGCTCACCCAAAACACACCCAAATGACGATTATTATCAAATTCAATTAACTTGCTTTCATAAACATTACGAATGCGTAATTGTCGTTTGACTGCGGAAATCAACGGTGGTCGTTGAAAAAGTGCACCGGTAAGAGTCTCTAAAGCAAAAGAGAACTTTTTGACAGACTCAATGGCGTCATGGAATCGAATAACACAGACATATTCTTTGCCTACACGTAAATAGGGTTTTCGAAACTTAAAAAAATCAAATAATACTTCATTCTCGAATTAATCAATTACTTTGCCATCTAACCTGCACTTTGTTGAGATTTAACTAAACGAGTAGCTCGATCAATACAAACGATCAAGCAGCCCGTAACTTTAGGATCTAATGTGCCACTATGTCCGGTTTTCTCGACTTCAAGAATTTTACGAATCCAAGCGACTACTTCATGTGAAGAAGGATTTGCCGGTTTATCAAGATTTATTACACCGTATCTGTAATGGAAAAAATTATCACCTAATGCAATGAAAATTTATCTTCCGTTTAATTAAATACCTTATATATTCACTTAGTTCGCGCTTAAGTGGGGAACATCCTTGAACGACAGGCGTGTAATGTCCGGTACGAACATGAAGCTTATCATAGTTCTGCATTGTATAGGTACAACGAGAACATTAATGATTTAAATAAAATACTGTTATTTCGACATAAGAAAAC